CAATGGAATCTGAACCTACATTGGGTGAGGCACTAAGGGAAATTCAAAGCAAAAAGACACGAGGTAAAGCTGCAAAGGCTGCTGAGACATCACAACAACCACCAGCAAGAGAAATCAAGAGAAGAAAAACAACGAAGGCAATCTTAAACTCACAGACTGCAGAGCCATCACAGCCGCAGTCAGAAAATAAAATCAATCCAAAAAAGAGGACAAGACCAGCCACAAAACCACAAGATGCTGAACATAGATCTGATAGTGCATACTTTAGCACTCGAATGGGGCCAAGAGTAATGCATCGGCTTGTTAAGAGACTATCAGCACAACAAAAACAAGCTGTAACTGATATTGGGTTTGAATCAATCTTAGGTCTTCAACTGAACACAAGTGAGTCTCAATTGGTGCAGTATCTAGTTCATGCCTTTGACGTTTTCAAGTGTGATTTCGTATTGGAGGGTGATAAGCTACATGTTGCTGAGAAGGATATTGAATGCACTTTAGGCATTCCGCGAGGCATAAAAGAGGTGGAGGAGGCTCCAAAATTTGAAGAGAATGGGAAAGCTGAGTACAGGGCTCTATTACGTACTTGGAGGCAACGGTGGGGAATACAAACCGGATCACCAATCACAACAAAAATGGGATATGCAATTATTGACAGGGGAGATTATGGAGATGAGTTTAAGAGAGATTTCATGGTCTTGATTGTTTCTTCAATGCTCCGTGGATTCCAGACAAGGTACTGCAATGTCAGAATCCTTAACTCTTTGATCAATGTTAGAGAGATCAAGAACTACAATTGGTGCAGCTATACCTACAAGTTCCTTATCAAATCAATCGACAAGTACAAGAAAAAATCTGGCGGTGTGTTTACTGGTCCAGTCACATTCCTCCTTGTAAGTCCTTGATATGTCTCTACTTTATATTATTATGAACATACAGTTTAGAGATTATATGCTTATGAATGTACAGTTATATCATTATGAACATACAGTTCAAAGATTATGAATGTGGTACTCTGTAGTTTGCATGTTGTGAATATAGAACTATATGCTTATGAATGTACACTTATATCATTATGAACATACAGTTCAAAGATTATGAATGTGGTACTCTGTAGTTTGCATGTTGTGAATATAGAACTATATGCTTATGAATGTATACTTATATCATTATGAACATACAGTTCAAAGATTATGAATGTGGTACTCTGTAGTTTGCATATTGTGAATATAGAACTATATGCTTATGAATGTACAGTTATATCATTTGCAGAGCATGGCTTGATTTCCTAATTTGATGGACATATTATTCTTTTTGTAGAGCATGGCTGGATTTATTCGGCACTCCCCGTCCCCCCTCTACTTAAGGATTATATGCTCATCAATATTGTTTTTAATTTGTCTTGTGTTATACTTTATTATACTTTATCATTATGAACATACAGTTCATACATTTTATGGGGAATTTGCAGCTATTCTATGTTGATAGAGTCCAATTCAAGGGAATGAAAGTCATTAGAACACACCCTACCATTCTTTCATGGACAACTAAACTGTTGAGAAAAAGAGTGGATGCAGAGAAGAATTCTGGTGGATTTGGAAAGGGAAAGGTTATCCCACGAATGAGGAAACCTACTACAGTTTGCAATGTTTTTGCTTTACCTTGTCCTTCTGCACAAGTAGTTCCAATGATTTCAGTGCCATCATCCAGTGTTGATAGAGTGACGCAAGTACTGAAGAAGCTTGCTGCCGATGTAATTGAATTTGGAGAGGCGATGGCTGAGGTTGGAAAGGAGGGAGCACCTGCGGAGGTGATAATGACAACTTTCTCCGGTATTTCAAATATGATTTCTGTGGCAAGCACAATGGAAGCAGCTCCAAACCCAACAGCATCCCAACTAGATGACATTTTCTTTGGCCAAGAAACTTTTACAGCTGCAGTGGATGCTTTGGTAGAGGCCTTTCAGAAAACAACTAGGCAAATGGAAATAGAAGCTCCATCTTTCGATCTAGGAATTTCCCTAACCCCAGCCCCATTACGTAAGAGACCAGCAGGGCAGAGCACAACAACAGAAATACAATTGGATGCCCTTGTTGACACCATTGCATGTGGAGCTGGTTTGACAACCTCCAACAACTCTAAAGCACAATCAACTGATGCTGTTTCAACCTCTGGCAACAAGGGAAAAACTCCTTTGATTAAGGTTCCATTCACCATAGACTCCCCTGCCACCCCTACTGCTGCTGCTGCCCCTGATGTGGAGCTTGATGATAATGATGATATTGATAGGTAAATGCATGCTTAGATTCAATATATTTTGATTACCACTAATATGGTAGCTATTGCATATAACTAATATGCAGTTTATTAGTTATGAATCTACAGTTTATTAATTATGAATCTACAGTTAAGTACTTATGAATATACAGTTTGGTAATTATGAATCTACAGTTAAGAAATTATGAATCTACATTTTATTGATTATGAATCTACAGTTTGTTAATTATGATTCTACAGTTTATTAATTATGAATCTACAGTTAGGTATTTATGAACATATAGATATTAAATTGTAAATATTCTATTGCATTATTATAACTACCTACCTACATTTTGTATAAATACAGAGCATTGAATGAGAGTGAGTATGATATTGAGGATGTCACCATCCGAAAAAGACCAAAAAGAAAATTCAAGAATGTCCCACTGAATCTACGATCTCCTTATTGGACACGGAATGCAAAATATATTCTCAATGCCACTGCGAGGGAAAAGGTCGCTTCAAATTATGCATTCATGGAAATTTCTGATAATCATCCAAGAGAGTATGTTTGAGATCTAAATACTTATTAAACTATTTAATTACTTAAATATTTAACATGTATTAACTAATGTCTACTTTTTTTTTTTTTTGTGCTTTTTGTGGTGTTGTAGCGAGCTACTGTTCAGCTATAAGGATTTCTTTGTGACAAGAGAGCATTTCCTCACATTGAGTGAGGGGGAAATATCCAGCATTCTGATAGATGTATTTTCTTATAAGCATACAATGATCAACATCAAACGAGCAGTGGGACAACCAAAGTCTGTGTACTTCAGCACAATGGTATATGTAAGTGTCTTTTGACTTGCAATAAACTGTTATTTGAATTTCAATTTACAGTATGCAAAAATCTCATTTCTTAATAACTGTTTTTCCATTAGCTGCAACTTGACCCAACAGATGAATGGATGAAGACACTCCCACTTGATAAAAAGAAGAAAGATTTCAATGAGCGGTTGAGCTATGAGCTGAGTAGTTTTGGCAATCTAGATATCAGTGATGCACAATTGGTACGTTCTATTACCCACACTCAATGTTTATTTATCACATCCTTAATCATACTTGCTATACTATATATTCATAATATCCATACTGTACATTCATAATTCTTGTGCTATAAATTCATAATTTTTTTTATTTCTTCAAATCAGATATTTTTCCCTGTGTATCGACATGGACACTATTTTATTATTTGCATCAACACAATTTCATCTAAGCTTGAAGTGATAGACAACAAAGCCCTACCAAAAGATGTTACAGAAGAAGATAAATATGAAGATTGCCCTCAGTTATTGGTAACTTATCCAAAAACTTGAACTTCTTCTCATTTGACATATGTGGAGTATAATGCATAATGAACACTGACATATTTTTTGTGCAGCTAACTGCATTCCAGGAATACTTGACCGCACAGAGTTCATCCTTGTACTGGAAAATAGAAGACATTCCTATAGATTTCCTTCCTATGACATGGAGAGAAACTGAAAATTCCATTGACTGTGGAATATATGTCATGAGACATATGGAATCATATAAAGGAACTCTAAAGAATTGGAACCCAGGATTCAAGAGAAATCCTAGTGTAAATGTAAGAGAAAAATATATTACTTTTTTTTCCCCATTGCATCAAACTGATTGTTTAATATTCTTCATTTGTAGGCTGATTTCATCTATGAGTTACGAGCAAAGTATGCTGCTGCAATCATAACGTGGGAAGAGAACAAAGAAATGCACAAGATAATGAAAGCAGCAAGGAATATGTCCAACACGAAATGAATGTGAAATACTGTCATTTTGAACATGGTTGACTAAAAAATTGTGAATTTTGATTTCTGAAAATATGAATTGTGTAGTGGGATTGTGGGAATGTATATTTTTGCACTTGTGACAATGGTTCTATTATTAAGACTTTATGGTTCAAAAATATGGTTTTATTATTAATTTGTGTACATATATTACATAATTCATAACTATAAGATTATGAGTGTACAGTATTCTTATTATGACTGTACAGTTGTGGCATTATGAATGTACAGTTATGGGTTTATGACTGTACAGTTATGGAATTATGAACACAACGCTCTGACATTATGAACTTATAATTATGAATATATAGTGATAAACGTTATTATCATATCAACCTACAAATTTTCAACATTGATGTTTAAACCTCTTAAAATAAATAAGGATCAAATAATATAGACAACAAAACTTGTAAATGTAAATATCAACAGAATATGGTTCTACTGTTAATTTGTGAAAATAAATTACGTAATTCATAACTATGATATTATGAATATACAGTTATGCGATTATGAATGTACAGTTATAAGATTATGACTGTACATGTATGCGATTATAAATGCATATTTTTGAGATTATGAGCGTACATTATTCTTATTATGAATGTACAGTTATGGCATTATGGATGTACAGTTATGTTGATATGAATATACAGTTATGGAATTATGAACACATAGCTCTGAAATTATGAACTTAAAATTATGAATATATAGTGATAAAAGTTATTATCATACCAAGCTATAAATTGTCAAAATAGATGTTTAAACCTCTTTAAAAAATAAGGAACATGTATTATGAATATATACTGCAAAACTTGTAAATGTATATGTCAAAAGTTGTGAAAATAAAGTTCAGAGCTAACCAATTGACATATTGCAATCTCAGTCTACAACTACATTCTCATCTAAACTCTTATTAAACCGAACAAACTGTGAACTACTAGAAGTTGGGTGTACAAGATATCCATCACCAGCAATCTCAGATATATTTTCCAAAACCAGTGATTGAACGGCACCCTTTATATTTGAAGCAACCTTATTTGCAGCACTCCTTCTTCCCCTTGCTATAGTGTACTTCTTTGCAATAATACTACTCCTCCTTTTATTACGCACACCTTTCAATCTCCGGCTTGAAGGATCTTGAACAATAACATTTGAAGATGAAACACCACACCCTTCAATATTCACTTTCCCCATCTCAGCTTCAATCAATTTCTTCGCATTCTCAACAGCTTCATCGCAAAACTGTCTAGCTACACTATTGTTTTGACTTGAAACAACCAATTTTTGAAACTTCCTACTAATCTCAACAACCCAAATTGAAGGAGGAACACCAAGATTATAAGACAGTGAGTCAAAGATCACATTCCTACCAGCTGCAACCTTTTTAGTCCATCTTTTCATAATGTACTTGTCTGGAATACTAGGAACACAGTTTATATCAAGTATGCGTAAACAATGAGAACACAGAATTCCCATTTCGGAAAACGGTTTGCAACTGCAAGAAATGTCAAGATTAATCGGCTTAAAACTAACTTCATGCCTTATAATATCTACATCCGGTCGCCACACATGATACTTATATTGACACCCATCATTCAACACGATCTCTTGGTGACACGCACTGCCTTTCATTAACTGTTCCTCAAACAGAAAATAGATTTCAATTGTATATACCTCTCTAGCATGTGAAAGAAGTTTCACATTGTCAATCATCATGGCAGGTACACCTTGAGCACAACGAAAATCTTCACCATTTTCTTTACTTCTCCACTCAGAAATAACACTAACAAACGAGGAGTAGAAATCACACAAACCAGCAGTCTTAGATAGCCTTCTAGAAATTGAATGGTTTGTGGTTTCACTCCTTTGTGAAGATAGAATACCCCCAGAAAAATAATCCTTATTGAAAGCTGGACACCATTTCTCCCTACAGTCGTAAAGCTTCCCTAGCCATGAATTCTTGTGACACTTAAATTCAGTCACCATCCTGAAATTTATTTATTGTACACTCATAGTTACTTAATATACTGTATATTCATAATTCATATAATGCAGATTCATAATTGCAAATATTGTATATTCATAGTTAATATACTGTAGGTTCATAATAGCTAAACTGCATATTCATAATTGATATACTGTATATTCATAACTTCTATACTGTATATTCATAATTCATATAATGGAGATTCCTAATTGCAAATATTTTATAGCCATAGTTAATATAGTGTAGGTTCATAATAGCTAAACTCTATATTCATAACTACTATACTGTAACTTCAAAACTTATAAACTGTATATTCATAAACAAAAACCCATAAACAGAAACATACCTAGTCCAATAAAATTCAAATTCAGCTTCAGTGTCTGTGTATTTCAGCAAGCAGTTGAAGATATCCATGAACTCCTTATTGTTCCTTAACGTCTTGATATGCTTCTTCGAATTCTCACCAATATGCCATATGCAAAGAGGATGGCGTGATGTTGGAAAAACTATAGAAATAGCAGCAGCCATGGCTGCACATTGATCCGTCATAATCGATTGTGGACACTTGCCATCCATAGATCTTAAAAAAGCTTTAAATAACCACACAAAGGATTCTATCCTCTCGTTCTTCAAAAACCCACAACCAAACATTACATTCATACAATGATGATTCATCCCTACAAACGGCCCACATATCATATCATATTTATTAGTGCGATATGTTGTATCATGCACTAACAAATCTCCAAACAATTCATAATCCCGTCTCATTTGACCATCCCTCCAAAAAAAAATTACACAGTCTTGAGTTAGAATCAACTTCAAAATCGAAAAAAAAGTCAGACTCATTGGATTGCCTCCTCCTAAATATTTCAATTAAAGAATTGGAATCAGTTCCATCCAAACTCTTAACTGTGTCAAAAGCCATCGAATTATAAGCATCACGACTAGTGAAACCAACCAATGGAGACCCGCCTGATTGATGTTTCAAAAACCTAATACCCCCTGCCACACCAACTCCACTCTGCTTCAAATCTTTTAAACATGAAAGCTGGTTACTTCCCACTCTCCTATGTGACCGAAGTAGATGACTCTTGTCTAAATCACATAGCTCATGATTGTGCACCTTCATATGTTTTGCTACTGTCCACAATCCATCATCACCCACATCAAACTGAACAAATGCACCACACCCTGCCCTTGTATCAATTTTTGAATAAAGCTTAACACCACCATCTGCCTTACACTTAAAACCAGCTTTAGAACAGTAAAATCTCTTCATTTGAATTGTCTTGGTAGATGCCTTGTAACGTTGTTTACCCTTCCTCACACTAAAACCAACTCTATATGCATGTTCATTATACAACTCAAAAGCTTCATCACCATTACTTACTACAACACCAACCAAATCTTCATCAACTGCAATTGCAAAATATATAACCTCAAGTATAACAAATAATAACATTTGATGGAAATATAATTCCAATGTAGAGGGGGAGAGGGGAATGCCGAATAAATCCAGCCATGCTCTACATAAGAACAGAATTCCCATCAAATGATAAAAAAAAAAAATATAACATGCACTGAACATTATGACTGTAAACTCATAACTCCATAATTGTATATTCATAACTATAAAGCTGTACATTCATAATTGCTTTATTGTATATTCAAAACTACATAGCTGTTCATTCATAATTTCACCCTACATACTCATAATTTCATAGTGTATATTTATAACTTCATCAATCTATTCACATAAGCACAATACATATATGATCAAAAACATCATTCTACCAATAAAAACCATCACATATCACCATACTTGATCTGTACTTATTGAATAAAATATTCTAATTGAGAGTAAACACTGGTAAAAAATCTGGAATAGAAGAAGATCCATCAATGTTTAAATCTCCTTGATCAGTACTTAATGAATCACCCACCAAACCTTCGTTCACTGAAAATACATAAACAGTGTACACAGAGCAATCAAATATATAAACATACAACTGTAAAATTGTTGAACATATAACATGCAACTTACTGACATTCACTTTACAAATAGCTACAGAGTACCAAAAACTGTTATGAATATATAGTTCATACAGTATGAATGTACAAGTCAATCATTATGAATGTATAGTTGCAATATTATGACACATGCAAACTGCAGAGATTTATGAGCAGTGTAAACACTCCAAAATCTGAAATCACCTGTATATTCTACCCAAAATTGCATACATTGATTGCAATCACCAGCAAAACCTCACCAAAATCTCACCACATTGTACGCAATCAACAACAACCACAAATTCAAAAAAAAACATACACTGACAACAAATTTGATCGCATTAACGCACACAAATATACAATCGAATTCAGTTTTTTACCTAATAAATCTCAAAACACAAAAAATATCAAGTATATCCAAAATCGCAAAATACCTCGAACCTCCATCATAGAATATCGATCAGCATTCAATTCACTCTGATTTGTTGCCTCATCCATCAAAGAACTCTTTATTCAAATACATACGATCAACAAACTCTGCGATTGCGATATAGAATGAAAGAAGGAAAGAATAGAAAACAGAGCGATATAGAATTGCAATATAGAATGAAAGAAGGAAAGATTGCGATATAGAATTGCAATCTCAAATTGCCAAAACGAAAGAAGGTAAGAATAGAAATCACTGACGCCGTTAACGGCTTAACAAACGCAATTTTTTTTTTTTTAAATTAGAATACCGCCGTTTTCCCTTAAAACGACGGCGTTTCGGACTCGTGTCCACAATGCATAGTGGACACGAGTCCATAGCATAATTTGCGACTATCTACTATCTACTATATATATATATATATATATATATATATATATATATATATATATATATATATATATATATATATACTAATAAGAGCCCAAGAGAGTTAGGCCTATAATGGGTAGAAAAAATGGCGGTCACATATTTTAATCAAATGAATGACTCAGATTGATTAAAAGATTGATCAGATTTAAATTTACACTAAAATTTCCTAAAATACCCACACACCGTTACTAATTCCGTTAAAATTTTAAGAATTGCCGTTAGTTCACCGTTAACTTACTCATTGATTTCAATAAAAAAAAGTCTTAGGTTCGAACCTCATCCCAATCAAAGTTGGCATAATTAATACTCTATTTTACTCTTATTAAATTATATAAATAATAATTTAGTAGTTACAACAAAAAATAATACATATGCATTTCTTTAATTTAGAATTATGTGTCCACAATGCCTTTATTCAAAAAAAAATATTCATTATCAATAAATTAAATAAGAGAAATCAAATGAATGGTTCATATTGTTTAGGTTTTAATTTTTTTTTCTTTTAAGATTTTCTAATTTATCCTTAATTATATGATTATCCATTTAACTTTTCCGTTAATTCACTGTTAGTCTATTTCTAATATTAAAGTCTAATATAGAATTATAACTACACCATTAATCTAATTCTAATATTAAAGTCTTAATAGAAGTTAACCACAAATACTAATGTTTGGAATCTCCTCAAACAATTGTAGTATATATTTAATATTTTATGCCCTAATTTTTATTTGTTCTCCCTTATGTCCCGTATTTGATTTCAACCATACCTATACAATTATTTTATTGACAATTATAATCAATCTTGACTATATTATCTTGCATTTGTAAACTTAGAATTACCTATTTAACCCGCGCGGGCTTAGCTCAATGGTTTAGTGGGTAGTATTTGGGAGAAGAGACCAAGGTTTGAACTTCGGCAGTGGCAGTGCGGGAATTATGTCCAAAGTGGGCAGATTTCTTGTGCGTATCAGCATTTTGCCCTGTCTGCTGAACCATTGAGTCACCGTGATTTACAACTTCCAACAATGCTCTGTCGGGTCGGAGTGTGGGGGGCCCTTGGGGTTGGGGACTCAACCTTTGGGAGAAGAATTACCTATTTAAATACGCAAATTCATCCTTCAATTATCTATGCATGAACAATTTCAATATAATCCTGCCTTAATATACTTTAAAGTACCTATTAAAAAAAAAACATTGGGCATTATCCTAATCGCGCAATGTGCGTAAAAAACTAGTATATATATATATATATATATATATATATATATATATATATATATATATATATATATATATATATATATATATATATATACTATTTTTTTTTTAAATAAGGGGTCCCCAAAACTTGGGGGCCCTGTGCGCCGGGACAAGGAGGACTTGCCCAGGGCCGGCCTTGCACGTTTACTGACCAAACTTTTTTTCATGTGATTTTTTTATTTGTCCAAGTGCGTTTATAAATATTTAATTTCTTATCTAGTATAAGACACTAAATTATTATATATGTAATAATTGATGTATAATATGACATTTTTTTTTTTCAAATGGGTGGTCAATTATGAATATACAATAATATATAATTATTATTCGTTAGAGATAAAAAATAATTAACAATAAATGCCCAAATTAAATAATTTTCAAGTAAACAACAAAAAAAAGTATATATAACCCAACACACTACACAAAAATTATTTTGACATAAAATAATTTTTACATTCATATCCCAAGAAAAATCAGTGAGTTCGTGATCCTTTTATATTCAGTGAATTATATCAAAGATTTTTCTTTTTGTTTTAATTTTGAGTGAATTATTAATATTCATTTTATTTTTCAATTGGTCTAATTTGTATGCCATTCTTATTATCAGTTAAATATTTTTTAAAATACATATCAATTAGTTTATACTATAATTATTAATATAATTGCTAATAGATATATATTCATAATTTATGTATTCCGTGCCATTTTTAATCTCAGATAATTATTTTTCAATAATAGATTCCCTTTTTAATACATATTAATTAGTTAATTACTAATAACATTTTTTTTGATATTTTCAATAAATTATTAATAACAAATACCATTTTCTAATTTACATGTACTATTGTTTGGACGGTCTGAGCCAATTTGGGATCATTTTTAATTTTTAATCAAACATTAATATTCATTTTATTTTTCAATTGGCCTAATTTCCATACCATTTTTATTCTCATTCAATTATTCTTTTTTTAATACATATTAATTAGTTAATTATGAATTTTAATATAGAATTGTAGTACGAATAGTAAAGTATATGAAACAATATATTGTATTAGGAATTGTATTACAGTATTTTAGAATATTACACAAACTATGTATTGTTGTTTAGAATATGCAGATTCGCAAGTATATATTATGGGGAGGATGATTTGCGCTTTTTTTTTTTTTTTTTTTTTTTTTTTTTTTTTTTTTTTTTAACGAATTGGAGTAGTGACGGAATAATATTGTTGAATAGGAATATGAATTTTAATATTGTTGTATTGTATTACGAATATGAATTTTAATGTAGAATTGTAGTACGAATATTAAAGTAGGAAAAAATATATTAGAATAGGAATTTTTTAATGTAGAATTGTAATACGAATAGGAAAGTATATAGGAAACAATATATTCTGTTATGAATTGTATTACACTATCCGCATGAGCAGCTTAATTGGTCACAGAGGTGAAACTTTGGAAGAATGATTAGGGATTGAGTCTCACCAACGGCAGTGTGGGAGCAACCTCTCAACGTGAGGGGCGTTCCTTGCCTTTTGGAAGAATGAATTGTATTACACTACATATTTAAATTAATAGTATAGCACTATTTTGGGCGGAAAGTTAAAATAGAGAACTTTATTTTCATTAATAGTACGTATAGATTTTCGTGGGTGTTAATTTTATGCAATTCATAAAATTTTAAAGAAACTAGTACATATGATATTTATTAAAATTCTTTGTCTACACATTCTTTAAAAAGTTGCCAAACTATTTTTTTTTTTCTAGCAACAAGCCTGCTCGTACAGGTGTGAAAATCAAGATCCATTCACTCAATTACTCTTTGTGGGGCAAAAAAACAAGGCTAAATTTGATCTATAAAACTTTGGCTAAAGTGTCATCTCGCACCATGAATTATTTTTGATTATTCATGCCGCATTATGATTTTTAATAAGTGATATTTAGAGCCATAAATCATAATTTTTTTTCGTCTAGAACCTTTTACAGGTTTCGTACAAGTTAGGGATGTAAACGAGCCGAACCGAGCTCGAGCATGGGTTGGCTCGAGCTCGAGCTCGAAAAATGATGCTCGAGCTCCGCTCGACAATTTTTCTAGCCGAGCTTGAGCAGCTCGATTGTTCGAGCTCGGGCTCGATTTTGACCTATTTAATTGAATTCATATTTCAATTAATAATAAACATTGTTTTATCTATCCATACATAAATAATAAAAACTTCAATGTTTAAAGACTCCAAAGACTCAAAACAAGTTTACAATTCCACTTTAATTACACGTCAATAGTAGTCATATATATATATATATATATATATATATATATATATATATATATATATATATATATATATATATGTATATATATATATATATATATATATATATATATGTATATATATATATATATATATATATATATATATATATATAATATTTATCTATTTATTTAATTATGGCTCGCGAGCGGCTCGATGAGCCACGAGCCTAGAATATTTGAACTCGAGCTCGATTTTGACCGAGCTCGAGCCGAGCTTTGACCGAGCGGCTCGCGAACTGCTTGCGAGCCGCTCGGCTCATTTACACCCCTACTACAGGTTATCGGTAATAATATTGCTGACATGTAATTTTTTAATAGTTTTTTATTTATTTATTTATTTTTCTTCTTTCACCTTCGTATTATTTTTTTCCGTATTTTTCTTTTTTTCCTAAACGTATAGGCCTACTCTGCGTTTTTCGCTTCTCGTTTCTCTGACTAGGCTTGGTCTACGGGATTTGTTATCGGAGAAACGAGAAGCGAAAAATGCAAAGCAGGCCTATACGTTTAGGAAAAAAGAAAAATATGAAAAATAAATAAATTATAATACGAAAGCGAAAGAAGAATAATATAAAAAAAAACTAATACAAAATTCCAGGTCAGCAATATTATTACCGGTAACTTGTGGGAAACCTGTAAAAAGTTTCAGACGAAAAAAAATTATGATTTATGGCTCTAAATATCACTTATTAAAGATCATGGTGCAACATGAATAATTAGGAATGATTCATATCGCGGGATGATACTTTAGCCTAAAACTTTTAGTGAAATATGGAGTAACTAAATTCACCATTCCATTAATAGTTTAAGGTTTGGTAATGTACATTTCCTCCTGTTAGAGTTAAATCGAGAATACTTTTTAATGATGATGTATACTAAATAAATCTCATTTCACCAAGACTATGTGGTCTAATGGTACCCGAATTAGACTTTCATTTGGAAGGTTGTGAGTTCAAGCCTTAGTGGAGGTGTTATTGATTCTTTGTGTGTTACATTGTAATAGAACTAGTAGCTTAATTTAAGCTCTGTTGTAAATAATATAAGTGGACATTATTATAGTGTTTATAAAACTTG